GAGCTCTATCAGTCAGCCAGTCCACCCCACCATCTACTCATCTATCCCACACTTTCTAAGTTTCATTACAATGATGCTGTGGGAGACGATGTCAGATGCATCGCTGAAGTCAAGGCAGACAGCATCCATTGTTCTCCTCCTATCTACCCAGGTAGTGATTACAGCATAGAAGGATGGTCAAGCATGCTTTACCCTTGGTGAATCCGTGTTGACTACTCCTGATGACCTTCTTCTCTTCTAACTGCCTGGAGAGGGTATCCAGAACAAGTTGTTCCATCACCTTTCCAGGGACAGAGTTGAGGCTGACTGGCCTGTAGTTCTTGCCCTTTCTGAAGACTGGAGTGACTGAGATTGGCTATCCTCCAGTCTTCACACACCTCTCCCATTTGCCAAGACTCTTCGAACGTGATAGGAAGAGATTCAGCCAACACCTCTGCCAGCACTCTCAGCACATGCGGATGCATCTCATGAGGGCCCCTGTATTTGTGTTGATTTTAGCTAGACACTTTCTGACCAGATCTTCCTCAACCAACAGCAAGTATTAGTTTCTCTCTTACCTCCAGGGTCTAGAATTCCTGAGAGCCAGTCTTAGCATTAAAGATCAAGCAAAGAAAGCATTCAGAATCTTTGCTTTCTCCACATCCTCTGTTACCAGGGCACTCACCTCATTTATTAAGAGACCCACATTTTCTCTAATCTTCATTTTACTGCTGACATAATTTAAAAACAAAACAAACAAAAAAAACCTTTCTTGTTTTCCTTTACCTCCTTTGCGAGGCTTAATTCAAAGAGAGTCTTAGCATTCCTTGTTGTATCCCTACAGGCCCTGAAAACATTCCTATACTCTTCCCAGGTGGACAGGCCCCTTTTTCACATTTCATGGACCTTTTTTCCCTTTAGTTTATCTATGAGTTCCTTGCTCATCCATGCAGGCCTCCTGTTGAATTTCCCCAATTTTTTTCCCTTAGGGATGCACTGATCTTGAGATTGGAAGAAGTGATGTTTAAGTGTCAACCAACTCTCAAGGAGCTCACTACCTTCTAAAAGTTAGTCCATGGAGGACCAGAGGAGAACACTGCTTGTGCTTCCGGTCCCTTTAATGCCTTTCCAAGGGATGCAAAATCCTTTTAATGTTCTGTAATTTCCTTGTTACAACATCCTATGAACTGACATGCATGACAGCAAGTGGGTAATAGTCTTCTTGTTTTATCAGAAGTGGTAAAGTCTTCTTAACATCTCTGACACATGCCCCAGAAGACAGCAAATGTCTCTGGAGAGGTTATCTGGGTGGCAAATGGGGGCCTCAGTGCCCCCCAGCAAGGAGTCCCCAGCTACTAAGACTCTTTGCCTCTTTTTGGTGGCCCTAGTTCTAAGGAGATTCCTCGGTTGGACCCTCTCCACATGCTTGCTGCTTCCTGGGCTGCCTGGCATTCAAACACTTTTGTTTCCAACCTAAGTCTTGTGCCTGTTGCTCAGGGGGGAACTGTCAGGTTAAGAGGAAGGTACCTCCTTCCGCTCCATGCAGAAATGAAGGTCCATACCCCTTGTATTGGGTGCTATCTTGTTCTTTAGCCTCCAGGTGGGAAGCTGGTTTAGCTGCTTCTCCAGGCAGGGACTTACAAGAAGACTGCAGGCCATCATGTGTCAGTTCAGACCTCCTCATAAGTCCCCCTCTCTGATTCCCAGGTGCCTCAGCCTGCTGATTTCTTCTCCAGCCTGGGCATCTGCTCAGGAAATTCACCGAGCAGGGCACACCTATATCAATTATATCCATCCCCCTCCTCCTCCTCCCTCAGGCCAAAGAGTAAATTCCAGATTCTGTAACTCCCCACAGCCGAAGGTCCCTGAGGGATCTGTCTGAGAGCACTCCCCAGCCCATGCAGCTGCAAGCCCCATATCTGCCTTTCTGCCTCAGCCTGTCTGCCACGCCGGGTGAACACCATGTTGGTGTTAATAGAGCTCTCTTCTTGCGGTCCTGAATGAAAGGAGCAACATGCCCTGCTTGCCTGTCCTGAGCAAACTGCCACACCACGCTCTGTTCACCCATCCTGTTCTCTGTGCTCCCTAGCTGCCACCTTTGTACCTTGATGTGTGGCCCCACTGCTCTTGGCACCACCCCAACACATCAGAGATCTGCCTCTAAGTGCAGGGCAATGGCACCCAGCAGAAATGAGCTGTCCCTTGCCCATCGAGGCAGTTCTCTGCTTTGGTGCAGAATGTGTGCCCCAGAGCTGAGTGCCTCACAAAAAAGAAAAAAAAAATGGCATTGCATAACCTGAAGTCTCTGGCTTGAAATTTCCCATATGAGTGCTGCTCCATATCTGTGAACCCGAAAAAAAGCCTAGGAGCTGAGGACCACAGAGGTGCACAGTTCTTTTTAAGAGCTCCAGATCTGCTGCTGTCTCCCCATATTTTGTCCAACCTCTTAGATTCAGGACAAGCAGCCCTGCAGGTCTGAGATTAAGAGTGGTGAAAGACTTCTGGCATTTCAGATTGTTACAGTGGGTTTGTTGATCTTGGTCCTGTGGCAGAAAAAATAGCTCATATTTCCCATTAGGCCAGGAAATACAAACATTGGAAGCTCTGAATTGCCTCACAACATACAGCAAAGTAGCTATGACAGTGATGAGCACCAGTAGTATTATTTGGAATTTGAGAAGTTTTTGAATCTGTCCTCTTAGCACCGGTGTTCTTCAATATCGTTATTGATGGTCTAGACAGTGAGATTGAGTACACTTTCAGCAAGTTTGCAAGTGACAGAGCTCAGTGGTGCAGCTGATATGGCAGTAGGAAGGGATATCATCAAAAGGGATCTGGACAAACTTGAAAAGTGGGCAAATCGACAAGGCCAAGTGCAAGGTGCTGCATTTGGGCTGGTGTAATCCCAGGTGTGTGTACAGATTGGAAGCATTTGAGAGCCATCCAGAAAAGGATTTGAGTAATCTAGTATAATCTGGTCAATGAAAAACTGGAGATTTTCTTCCAGCCCAGGAGGACAACAGTACCTTAGGCTGCATCAACAAAGGGGCAGCCAGCAGGGACAGGGAGGTGATTGTCCCTCTCTGTTCTGCCACTGTGAGTAATATGTCCAGGTCTGGTGCCCTCAGTACACGAAAAAATGAGGAGCTGTTGGAGAAAGTCCAGCCAGGAAGATCATCAGAGAGCTGGAGCACCTCTCCTATGAAATAAGGCTGAAGGAGCTAGGCTTGTTCAGTAGGCTCTGAGGAAATCTTGCTGGACACTTTCAGTATTTGAGGGAAGCTTATATTAAAGAAGTAGACCATCATTTCACATAGTCTAATAGTGACAGGACTAAAAGATGGAAGATTTAGATTAGACATTATGAGGAAATCTTTTATGCAGATGGTAGAGACGCTCTAGCACAAGCTGCCCAGAGAAGATGTGGATGCCCCATCCATGGAGATGTTCAACGCAAATATGGATGGAGACCTGGGCAGCCTTATCCAGTGGGTGGCAGACCTGCCCATGGCAGGGAGTTGGAACAAAGTAAACTTCAACCTCCCTTCCAACCCAAGCCATTGACATGACACTGTGTTTCTGCGAAATAGAACCAATGAGAACTAAAAAAAAATTTAGATTGCTGCAAAATTTCCAGCCGGCTTTACTCTTTATTTCTGTCCCTTTCCTAATCTGAAAGGGAATGAATTCTCTAGTTTTTTTCCTTTCTGTTGATTATTTTTTATTTTTATTTTTCTTCTCTCAACGTATTTTGACTTGCTTCTCCCATCTCAGTACTTCCAATTATTTTCTTGAATACACTTTTTGAAGGCTGCTTTGACATCATTAGTGCCAAAGAGCCAAATCTATTACAACAGGACTAGCAAAAGAAGAACTCTTTTTGGACAAAAAGCATATATTTGGAGTGAGTTCTAGCCAGCTGTCTTGCTAAGTCAGATCTCTAAGCTCACACAAGTCTTCATCCGTCTTCCTACAAGTAGATCAGTGCAAACCTAACAAGTATTAACAAAATTTCAGTTTTCCTATTCCTTCCAGTATTTTGAAATCGATACCTTTGGCATCCAGATGTGACTACTCAGTGAATCTAGGGCAGCACTGTCACATCTAGGGCCAAGGAAGATGAAAAGAAAGGTGCATTGTTTGTTCTGTGTCTGTAGGGGGATGAGACAAAGTGTGAGAGATGTGACAGCACATGCACAGAGTGCAAGGGGCCTGGACCTTTCAACTGTACCATCTGCCCAGCTGGCATGCAGCTCTATCTGGAAGAAGGCCGCTGCCTACCCTGCTGCAGTGACACTGACCCAGCTGACATCCCAGAGTGCTGTGACTGCAATGAAACACAAGGTATGACCATCCTGAGGGGCAGCAATGCTGCTGGTGGGTGTTATGTCTGACTAAGCTGACTTTAATGGTGAAAAGTAGAAAACAGCAAAAATGTACTGCTGAGCTACAAATATGTGGTGTATTTTTACTGCTCCACCACTAGAATAGGAAGGACTTTACCCAAATAACAACAATTGCAATTAGTGCAGGAGTTGCCACCCTTTCTCATTCCCATCTATTGTGCCAAGTTGCCAAGCTTTTCATAAAACACTTGACTGGGAAGTGCTTCCTTCAATAAATAGCAACTTGAAACACATAATTTTAAGCTCCTAAGTCAAAATCATACTGTCAACTTCAGAACAGCTGTGGTGTTTTATACAACTGATGATCTGTAGGGTAGAAAAATGTTTTTATAGAGCAAACTGATACAATTACGAAAAACAGGCTCAGGGCACACAACCTGTCTTCAAGTCCTTCTAGGTGCTTGATAGTGAAAAGTATATCTTGGGAAGGGGAGAGATCGTCCATTTCTTTCGTACTCTCAGATAGAAAGACTGTATTTGTCTACTTATTAGCTTCTCAGCTTCTTTCAGGTTACTGCTAGTCTAATAAGGAAACAAAGCCATCTCAACAACCTTGCTTACTTACACCGTCACACTCAAAGCGTTCTTAGCCTTTTAAAACAAACTCAGCAATTCTCATGTACAAACACAATTTAATTTATTTTATTTTATTGTTGCTGTCAGATGACTGTGTGTTACGAACCACGTCACCACCAGCGAGCAAAAACAAGAGCACTTTCTTTGTCATTATCTGTATTTTACTTATCCTTGTCATTGGAGCCATTGTAGTCATCTGGAGAAAATCAAAATCAAAACCACGCGCTGCCAGTAAAGGTAGGTATGAGAAGCTGACAAATGACTCCAAAACCCTTCCTTCCTATGCGAGCAATTATCATGAGAGCCCAAGCTATCAGGAAGACCAAGTGATTGAATACAGAGATCGAGATATCGAAGATGATGATGAAGAAGATGATATTGTATACATGGGTCAGGATGGCACAGTCTATCGTAAATTTAGGTATGGACTTTTGGAGGATGATGAAGAAGATGAGCTTGAATATGATGATGAAAGTTATTCATTTAGATAACTCTATTGTCTTATGGGTTTTCTGCTCTGTTGCTTTTCCTATGAAATTGCAGCAATTTAGTTAAGTATGTCTATTTGCTCCTTTTTAGGCTGAACTTAAGATTTTAACTAACGCTTATTTTGAGAGCAGAATGGTTTCTAAAAACATTTTCTTCCTGAAGCTTTACATAAATCCCTCTTAGGCTTTTAAATTGCACTCCAGATGTATGTTGTTTAAAAGAATACATTCCTATGCATTTCTGTGGGCAGTAAATCCCTTCCCAATGTGTATGCACATGCACTGTGATAAGCACAAACATCCATGCAAACCGTACATACGTACTTACTGCAAACTTTGCTACTCTTTTTTAAAATGGTGCAGATATAGACAAGATTGTTGTATTTGTCTACATGACAAATATCTCTGGAGTAGCGTTCCAGTAGTTTACTACACTGTGATTATAGTTAAGTAGACTTTTGTAATAGCACGGGCAAGGTTTCTGATTCTAGCCAGATTTTCTTTGTTGATGTCACCTGGTGCAGCTATGCTCCTCAAAGCCAATACGTTTCTGCTTATAATCTTGTGGCATAGTTCCCAATGAAATTGTGCACTGATTACGTGATTTTTAAGAGCTGAGATTGTGACTGCTCCAGATTGCTTCACTGTACTCATGGTTTGTATCAAAAATATTGAAAATATTTTATGTAGCAATTTCTGATTACTCTTTATTCAACAGCTTGTTAAATAGTCTTTTGTTGCACACACAGACTTCTTGGTTTACTGCAAAGGGAAATATGGTCTGTAAATACAGTCACAAAACAGCACTCCTTTCCTTTCTAATTAGCTTCTCAAGCTACAGATGATTTAAATACCATTTGTTCAAGTAAGTTTCACGTTTCTGATGTAAATGCCTCAAGTTTATTGGAGGATGGCAAAGGGGATAACTAATATTTATTTAGTAATGTAATTTAAAGGAACACAGTAATGTGATTTTTGTATTACTACGAAAATTTAATTCATTGTACTAAAGGATGCTCTTTATGGCCCTTTACTGTGAAAGAATAAATTCTTTGCACAAAACCATTTTGAAAATGTCATTATTTATCAAGTTTTCCTCTTTCCTTTTCAGCTCCTTTGGAGCTTTGTAACTAGAAATAACTGTGGACCTGTAAATCAACTACTTCTAATGGCTGCAAAGAAAGTGTGTGAGAATATCTAATTTTTATAGCTCGATTCCTAAGTGGTATTTCTTGCAAAAAGTATTTATAAATACCTTCAGATCTTTCCATCTGTATGTTCAAAGAAGTTCTAAGGAGAAGACCGTTGTTTCCACTTTGAATTTTAATCTTTAAATCGTTACATCTTAAACAAGAATGCAAAATTATGTGAGTTCAAAAAAGTCAAAGCAAGGACCTACATTTATCAAAAGTTTCACAAGAGGAAGGTGCTCTGGAAAGATACGTCTTACCTGGCACTTTATTTCAAGTTCTTCTCTGAAGTAGTTCTGAAAAAAAAAAGGGTGGGGGAGTGGGGGGAAGGGGGAAAAGGAGAGTGAACAATCAGAATGAAAGGTCATATTGAATGAAAGACTGCCTTATTTTGCTCTCCTAACCTTGTTTGGATTAGCATGCTTTGTCATCATTGTTAATGATGTATTTAACAATTGTAAGAATTTGGTATGAAAACCTGGAATCTCCTCATCACATTTCAAAGGCTTAATCCTAGCTGCACCTGAGCATTTAGAAATCACTTGACAAATGCAGTGAGTACCTTGTGTACGCAATCACTCTAACATTTCCATCATTTTAATGAAGTTTCTTGAATTTTACTGTACTCTGAATGGTTCAGTATTTTGAATAAGCCAAAGTGTGCATATACCCACAAAGCCAATTCTCTGTCTTACTTCCTCCTCCACCCACCGTAGTAAGAAAGATGTTCCAAAGAGAGCTAGTATATTTCAAAAACACAAGGCTGCTATAGAAACTCTTGCATCTGACTATCTGTTCTCTAGTTCTTTTTTTCTAATGTGCCTGAATTCTTCTGATCTTCAGTAAACTCACACTTTTGTCAATGGTTTATGGGCCGATTCCTGGTTCCATGACTAGTGGGGTGGAGGATCTGTAGATCTGTGCCTCCAGAAAGGGGAAGCAGGAGACCCTAAATAATTAAAAACAGAGGCAATGATCTGAGGAGAAACAAACTAATTTACTAAATATGGTATCGGAATGCAAAATAACACACTATAATACAGTATAATTAGAATTGAAGTTAATAAATCAAATGTAATGAGAGAGAATGTTCAAAAGGTGGAAAGGGCTCATCATAGTTGGGTCGAGCAGCAGGCAGGAGAGCTGAAAAAGGGAAAAGAGCATGTCAGGTGAACTTCCAAGGCTTTGTATCTGTTCCCCCTGAGCAAAAATGATAACAGAAGAGCAAATAATCTTCTGGGGAATATTTTTTTCTCTTCTGGAACAAGTATCCAGACATGGAACAGTAACTCTTTAACTCCCAGTGCACTATATGATGTTATGATGTGGAATACCGATAATCAAAAATCATAAAACCATGACAGCTTTCTCGTTTTCTGAGTCTTTTTTCCTCACATCAATGCCCCTCAGTTTTCTCCTGCCCTCAGGCTTCACTCCGTATCTTCTTGCCATTCCTATTAATTCATGGAGTTTCTAAAGACCTTCATTCTTCTCCGATTACTTTTATTTTATCCACCTTTCTGCTAGGCAACTATTTCTGATTACTAGTAGTAAAGCTCTTTGAAAAAGATTTTGTGAAAATTGCATCTTTGGTGCAGGTCTACCACCACTTACCTCTCATGTAATTCAGGTATATTTATTCAAAGGAACGAGTAGATTATCAGGGTTCTTTAGCCTCCCTCTTTCCAGAGAACATAGAAAAATTTTAGTCTTCCATGACTTCACCCTGATGTTTTGCTAGAAAAGAAGTGAAGGAAAGTGGATTGAAGGAGCCACTGTTCAGGTATCTTGAGACCCAAGGTTCCTTCATCTGTGGGCTGTTCCTGACAAAACTACGTTTTAGTTGAACCACAGAACGGCTTGGGTTGGAAGGGACCTCAAGAATCATCAAATTCCAACTCCTCTGCTGTGGGCAGAGTTGCCAATCATTAGATCATGTAGTAGATTAGATTGCCCAGGATGCCATTCAACCCTGAACACTTTCAGGGACAGGGTCTCCACAACCTCTCTGGGCAGCCTGCTCCAGCATCTCACCACCCTCTCAGTGAAACGCTTCTCTGACATCTAATCTAAATCTCCTCTCCTTTAGGCCAACACCATTCCCCCTTGACCTTTCACTATCTACCCATGCAAAAAGTTGATTTCCTTCCTGTTTATAAGCTTCCTTTAAATATTGGAAGGCAGTAATGAGGTCTCCCGACAGTCTTCTCCAAGCTAAACAATCCCAACTCCCTCAAACTGTCCTCAAAGAAGAGATGTTCCAGCCCTCTGATCATCTTCCTAGCCTCCTCCGGACCCTCTCCAAAAGGTTCACATCTTTCCTGTAGTGGGGGCCCCAGGCCTGGATGCAGTACTCCAGATGGGGCCTCACAAGGGCAGAGTAGATGAGGACAATCAACTCCCCTACCCTGCTGGCCACCCCTCTTGTGAAGTAGCCCAAGATACTGTTGGCCTTCTGTGCCGTCTACACACTGCTGGCTCATGTTAAGTTTTTCATCGACCAGGACCCACAAGTCCTTCTCAGCAGGGATACTTTCAAGGAGTTCTTCTCCCAGTGTGTATACATATCTGGGATTACCCCAACCCAAGCGCAAAACCTTGCGTTTTGCTTTGTTGAGACTCCTTAAGTTCACAAGGGCCCATTGTTCGAGTTTATCAATGTACCTCTAGATAGCAGCCCTTTCTTTTGCCATATCAACTGCACCAGTCAGCTTGGTATCACCAGCAAACTTATGAGAATGCAGTTGATACTACTGTCTGTGTCAGTGATAATTAATGAGTACCAGACCCAAGACAGACCCCTGGGGACACCTCTCATCACCAGCCTCTATCTGGACATAGAGCCATTGAGCACCACCCTCTGGCTGTGTCCTTTAAACCACTTTCACAGCTTACCATGTATTTGCTTCTTGGTCTTGCATGTGGAATGCAGTAGTGGCTGAAGACTTAGATAGGAGTTTCAAACTAAAATAGGAAGGTAAACAAGTTTAAAGCAGTTAATGTAGTAGTCTTTCAAATGGAAATTGAGGCATTTGATTTTCTCATGAAAAATAATGCATGCTTCAAGAGAAATCATAGAATGATAGAATCACCAAGGTTGGAAAAGTCCCACAAGAGCACCCAGTCCAAATATCCCCCCAAAATACATATTTTTGCATTTAAAAATGTATTTACAATCAGATTTCCAAGTTTAAATTTTACCTATAGAAAAAATCTGATTATCCTTAGGTCACCAGAAAATAAACTAGAACTAATGATAGAATTTTTCAATTTCCCTCAGCATCTTATGTGTACATGTGATTTCAAGCCTGAAATTCAAGTAATAAGACATACAGCCTGACGAGGAACAGGGGTAGTTTACAAACAGCTCAAAAGCACTGTATCACTTAGTCTTTTATACTATGTAAAAGCAAGCTGTCCACAAACCTCAAAAGTTTTGCAGAAAAAGACACCCAGCATGTGGGTATCTGAGACAGAAAAAAATAAAGCAAAATAAATTCTCTGCCATAACAAGATAACCAATACATGAAGTCAGTATTCTAAGCTATGTAATTAGTTGTATTGTCACTGCCATTGTCAGCAATGTTTATAAAACTCTTCTCAATTAAAAAAATCCTAGGAGGTCACATATATCCAAATAATATCCTGGAACAGTAGATAATATAACTCTTCTAGCTATCGTACTAGGAAATACAACTTTTTGTTTATTTTATGTCTTTCTTATTTCAGAAAAACACAAGCAAATTAGGAAAAAAGTATATAGTCCTATATAGACCATATTAATTACAAAATAATTCTGATACGATTTGGTATTCAATACCTCATATCAGTTCCAGGAATAAAAAAAAATTGTATGTATTAAAAAAACAAACAAAAGAAACCAAATAAACAAACAAAAAAAAAACAGTAGAACAACTGGATACTTTGATACTTTGCCCCAGTGATGAGCCATTAAAAAACCTGAGTGTTATGTACTTGAGGATTTAACATTTATGTCTACACTTACAGTTAGTAGACGCTGCTAGTAGAACAGCTTCATCCATGACAAATTCTGAGGTACACTGAAGAGTCCACTGCATCTAATACAAAAAAGAAGTCTTTATGGCATATCCACATCACCACAGTCTATTACGTTCTTTTATGGTGGGAATTCAGGGATATCACATAAAGGTTACATGAAGATCAACATATAAACAACATGAAAGAGTGAAGGAAAGTTTCTCCTATGAGACCAGGGACAGATTAATGTGTTTCAAGATACAGGTTTGATTTGTTTGCAGTTGTAGCAGATGGACTTTTGACCTGACCTAGATGAATGTTTAAACAAGTGAACAAGAATGAAAGAAGAGGATGCAACTCTTTCCATCTGACTTCTAAGAGAACAAAGTAGTTTTAGATTTTGAAAAAGAATACAGATCCAGTTCGAGGTCATGACATTCTGAGGGCATATCTCCCATAAGTCCTAGATAAAAAAAATGCACATGCGCCAACAAACAAACAAGCAAACAAATAAACAGATGGGTTACTTTTGAAACAGTCTAATTTTAACTAGTTTAAACAACCTCTGAACATTTTTCCACAACAGTAATAGACTCTGGGAGGTGGCAGTCAATCAAAAAGCGCATTGCATGAAAAAACACAAGCTTAATTTTTAAAAAGTACTTGAAACTACAGTAATACTTGAACTGCTTGAACTCTAACAACTTGAACGATCTTCATGCTTGACTTGGCGTTCATATGTTGCCTTAATTATAAAAAAAACACTGCAGCATCTGAAACATAGATGTTATGCTACAACATTTCTAAGCAAGAGTTTTGCCACCTCAAACTGAAAGTAGCAGCACAATTGAAGAATTCTGCAGTACCTTTCAGTATATGAATTGCCTGAATCGCCCCCAGCAATTCAGGTGGAGACAGTCAGAGAGCTTCTCCTCCATCTGGACTGTCACAAGTCCATGGGACTGGATGGGCTGCACCCTCAGGTGCTGAGGGAGCTGGCAGGAGTGATTGCTGAACCCCTCTCAGCCATCTGTCAGCATTTCTGGTTAACTGGTGAGGTCCCAGAGGATTGGAGGCTTGTTGATGTGACTCCCATCTTCAAGAAGGGCCATAAGGAGGATTTGGGGAACTACAGGCCTGTCAGCCTGACCTCGGTACCGGGGAAGGTTAGGGAGCAAATCATCTTGGGTGAGATTGCACAGCATGTACGCAGTGTCCAGGGGATCAGACCCAGCCAGCACAGGTTCATGAAAGGCAGGTGGTGCTTGACCAACCTCATCTCCTTCTATGACTGGGTGACCAGTCTGCCAGATGATGGAAGGGCTGTTGATGTAGTCTTCCTAGACTTCAGCAAAGCCTTTGACACGGTCCCTCACAGGCTTCTTCTGGGGAAACTGGCTGCCTGTGGTCTGAACAGGTCTACCCTTCTTTGGGTAAGGAACTGGCTAGAGGGCTGTGCCCAGTGGGTCGTGGTGAATGAAGTTCAGCTGGCGACCCATTACAAGTGGTGTCCCCCAGGGGTCAGTACTGGGGCCCATCTTGTTTAATATCTTTACTGATGACCTAGATGAGGGCATTGAGTGCACCCTCAGTAAGTTTGCAGATGACACCAAGTTGGGAGGTGGTGTTGATCTGCCTGAGGGTAGGGCGGCCCTTCAGAGGGATTTAGACAGGCTGGACTGCTGGGCTGAGGTGAGTGGGATGAGGTTCAACAAGGCCAAGTGCCGGGTCCTGCACTTTGGGCACAACAACCCCATGCAGCGTTACAGGCTTGGAGGTGAGTGGCTGCATGAGTGTGAAGAAGAGAAGGACCTGGAGGTGATGGTTGATGCTCGGCTGAACATGAGCTGACAGTGTGCCCAGGTGGCCAAGAAGGCCAGTGGCACCCGGGCTTGCATCAGAAATAGTGTGGCCAGCAGGAGCAGGGAGGTGATCATCCACCTCTACTCAGCACTGGTGAGGCTGCACCTCGAGTATTGTGTTCAGTTTTGGGCCTCACTACAGGAAAGATGTTGAGGTCCTGAAGCGTGTCCAGAGAAGGGCAACAAAACTGGTGAGGGGTCTGGAGAAAAAGTCTTATGAAGAGTGGCTGAGGGAGCTGGGATTGTTCAGTCTGGAGAAGAGGAGGCTCAGGGGAGACCTCATTGCACTCTACAACTTCCTGAAGGGAGGCTGTGGTGAAGAGGGATTTGGCCTCTTCTCCCAGGCAACGAGCAGGACACGGGGAAATGGCCGCAAGTTGTATCAGAGGAGGTTTAGATTAGACATAAGGAAGAACTTTTTGTCTCAGAGAGTGGTCAGGCACTGGAATGGCTGCCCAGGGAGGTGGTGGAGTCGCCGTCCCTGGCAGAGTTCAAGAGGCGCCTGGATGACGTGCTGCGTGATGTGGTTTAGTGCTTGTGGTGGCAATGGTGATGAGGAGACGGTTGGACTGGATGATCTTGTAGGTAGTTTCCAACCTTGTGATTCTATGATTCTATGCTAAAGAATATGCAGATTATACACACAGTAAAAATCAGTCAGAAAATCTGCAAGCAGCATTACAATTTTTTTAATTACATTCTCTTATTAATAGTACAGTACCACAACAAATTCAAGTTATCTGCACATAATACGAAAATAGAACACATCATAAAATTTATACTGTAATAGGGATCATGTATTGAACTTAGAAAGTTATATAAAATATCTGATTTTAAATAATGCACAAATAGGTACACTCAACCAAGTGAATGCAATTACATTTCCCCTAACGTGAAGACAAACACAAAGAGTCTATTGTTTTACTGTTAATATTCTTCACACTTTAGGTTAAAGCTCTGAGCAAAATAAGTTTCTCAAACTTCCCCTTTGCAACTGCTTTCTATCATCAAGCACAGCTGTTCCAAAAACAATGATGAGCAGATTTTTGTACAGTAACATTCACTAGCAGTTACAGAGTAGCATTACTGAGACAACCAGCTTAAGGCACCATGGTTTTCACAACTGACACAGGAAGTTCATGGCAAAAGAAAAAAAACAAAACAAAACAATGAGCTTAGACATAATGCTACAATGAATAAAGATTTATTCTTCAAACACTTTTAAAACATACTTTATTGACAAGCATGGCTTCCGTCGTTCCTCCAGAAGTATAAAATATCAAATAAGAACTTGGCATTGTTACAAACTCAAGAATACATCCCACTGGAGGAAAAAAAAAAAAAAAAAAGTGAAAATATCCCCTCATCATCTCTCTATTTTAGAGAGGAAAAAAAGAGCTGCTACTACTTTCAAGATAATTCCCATATATTTCCAATATGCAATCCAGTAAAGTCCATTAAACTGTTGTTTTGGTTGGTTTTTTTTTTTTTTTTTAATTCATGCAAATATTTTTATGTTTTCTTACTAAGAAGATTAAAGCATACTGAAAATATCCAGATAAGAGACAAGAAAAACTGTCAGTGTCTTTGGAGAGTTAAATCTGTAAACAACCTTAGCAATGCAGGCCAAAACATACTTTAGTGCAGTAAGTTCTTATTTAGAAATCACTCTTTCCTCCCCCAAGAACTGTACTTCCATTTTCTTGCCATCAACAGGAATGATGAGCAATTCCTATCAGTGAGCTCTGCTAAAGTTCTATGCAGCAATAAAGATTCCTTGCCTTGTTCAACGTCTTTTCCAAAAGTATCCCATGGTAATGGCATGAAGTTTAAATAAAAGGAGTTGAACTAAACTCCTGGCATGCTGATACTGCCTCAAGAAATTCTCATGAAGCTTTTTTTTGTCCAAGCTCTCCAAACCGCTAGAGTGAAATAAAAAAATAAAATAGGAGGAAAGTAGGAGGAAAGTCAGAAAATTGTGTCACAGAGCAGGGGGAGTAGATTCATAAGCACAGGCTTCCAAGTATATAGTGTCCTCTACCACCTGTATTTATATTTTAACAGATTTTTCTCAAGATATAATGAATTTTGACAGTACATCCTTCACTTACCTGTGTAAACATTTCAGAGTAGAGAACGCCGCAGAAAAGGCAACTTTTATATTAAAAACTCAGTACTTACTAAAGGTACATTATTCTAAAAATTTCTGAAGACTTCCACTGATCTACAGTGAAAAGTCTGGATTATGCTTCTACTTTGTGCAGATGAAGATACTTTTGTGCTTTACATTCTAAATTCAACATTTTACTGAGTCATTTCACTGTCAGTATAATAGTTAATCCAAAGTTTCTTCTTATCTAAGGCAGCAGCAGCTGAAATGCAAATTTGTTTTGGTTACCTTCTCTGTCTTAGAAACATTGCTAAGACTTGTTCATTATCCTTTCATCCTAAAACTTTGACATACATTAGCTTTCTCCACATCATTAATTTCCAGAACTTTAGAGAAACATTTCATCAGAAGGATGATGTTTGCATTACACATTGTAGTACGTGCAGTCAACTAGGCAGAAGTATTCATATTCCAGTAATTCAGTAACTAACAGAGACTTCCTTAATTTCAATCAAGGCTAATAAATAATTGCAATCAAAATTAAGAATTACAGTGAATTATTCTTGATACTGTTATCCAATCTTCGGCTTCCTGCATGACAAGTCAACTTTTGACTCATTTATTATAAGCTGCTTGATGTGTCAGATGTGATGACATAAAACTGGGAAATCAGTTTAGAATGATATTCTGTCTGTGAAAAACTGAAAATCTTCATTTATGTTTTAACTGTCTACACTCGGAGCAAGCAGAGGTCAGAATTAACTTTGGTCATGTTCCACATGGGTTAAAATCTCTATAACAATTAGTACGATACAGATTTGTATCTGTAAGGACCTAAAATAGTTTCCTCCTCCTTCTGCACGACTTGTTTCATAACCAGTCAACAAAGAAAACTTTAATCACATTGTGTGGCTTCAGCGTTTAGTTCCAGTCACAGACACACAAACAAGCAGTTATGGGTTAACCCTGGTGGGCAGATAAACATCCCTCACTCAGTCCTGCTCGCTCCCAGTGGGAAAGGAAAGAGGAAAGGAAAAGCAGGAAAACTCATGAGTCAAGGTAATTTAACAAGCAAAGAAGCGTAATAAGAGAAAAATGTTTATTACTCACCATCTTGCATGGGTAGACCACTGCCCAGCTGCTACCCAAGAGAAGATGGCTAACCTACCTGAACCACACTCTCCTTCCATTTTATTGCAGAGCATGACACTGATAAAGAACATCTCTTTAGTTAGTTCATGTCATCTGCATGTCTGTGTCCCCTCCTGACCTCTTGCAAAGCCCAAATGGATGCACTTGAATCAGAGCAAGAAATAGAAAAGGCTTTGACACTATGCAAACACTGTTAGGGTACAGATAAAGCATTAGGATGCTTAGTCACAAATCTAAAACACAGCACCATACAAGCTGCTGTGAAGAGAATTAACTCAATTCCACACAGATCAACCACCTAAGTCTATGTTGTATCAAACGATATATGATATGTAACTAGGCCAAGAATAGTTTATAACAAGGGGAAAAAAAAAAAAAAAAAAAAAAAAAAAAAAGGTTTTTTGCTCAGTGGTTTTTCCCTTCTGGTAGATGAAAGAAGTTGTCCTTGAGTTTAAGGTGCTCTGGTAAATCTAGTTGTCTTTTTGCCTCTTCAATGTCCTCCTGAATTGCCGAAATGAGTGTCTCTGAAAAATAAAAAGCAGAACAGCAGTATTGAAAAGGTCATCTGAATTCTGAGTACA